AGGGTTTAGTGTTTAGAGTTTAGGGTTTAGGGTTTAGGGTATAGAGTTTAGAGTTTAGGGTTTAGGGTTTAGGGTTTAGAGTTAGGGCTTAGGGTTTAGAGTTTAGAGTTTAGGGTGTAGGGTTTGGGGTTTAAGTTAGGGTAGAAGGAAGCAGTTCGGCCGTGGTATGCGGAATCCCAGAACTGACGCAATCAAGGCTGCAGGGATCACAAGGATCTATACAGTTCTTAAGTTGTAGAGGCCTTAATATATGATGAATTTTGGTCGATATTCCTTCAAAAACGGGGCGTATTTAGGATCTCTGGGTTCGGGCTTCGGGACCCTGAAACCCTAAACCCTAAATATGGGGGTTGCCAGCGGGCTGGGTTCCAAGTCAAAGAGTTTCCCTAAACCCTAAACTTAAACTCTAAACCCTGAACCCTAAACCCTGAAAACCTCATCCCTAAACCCTAATTTATCCCTAAACCCAAAACCTCATCCCTAAACCCTAATTTATCCCTAAACCCAAAACCTCATCCCGAAACCCTAATCCCTAGACCCTAATCCCTAAACTCTGTCAGGCCTTTGGGGCTCAGGGGCTCGTGATTCGCTGCTTCAGGCTTCCGGAGTCTGGGAAGGTTGTTCAGGGTTGAGGGTTTAGGCTCAGGGCTCCGGGTTAAGGGTTTTGGGGCTCAGGGGCTTTAGGGTGTTTAGGGGGTTTAGGGGGTTTAGGGTAAAGGGTTGAGGGTTTAGGGACAGGGCTCAGGGTTAAGGATCTAGGGTTGAGGGTTGCGGGCTCAGGGTTCGGGGCCCAGGGTGCGCGAGTCCGCCGGATTGGAGCGATCACAGATGAAGGATTGGGCGGACCCAGAGAACCCAATACCCCTTACTTAAGGGATACACCCTAAAGATCATAGGGGGCCATAATGATTATGGTTTAAGATATATATATATATATAGATATAGATATATATATATATATAGACATAGATTCCTTAATTAAAGGGTTAGTGGGTTCTCTGAGGATTGGGTCCCCCGAGCTCTGAACCCCCAAGCTCCCTTTTTTGGAAGGCTCAACTTTGGAAATCTAGCCCCGAGATGCTTACAGAAAATTCCCCCCGCTATGGGCTCCCTTTTTGGGAAAGCTGGGGAACAAAGATGGTGTAGGGGGTTTATAATGATATGGGGGCTTCCGAAAATAAGGGAACCCTAATTTAGCACGCTAAATAGTAGGATCCTTATTCTAAAGGACCCCAAAATAGGGTACCCTTAAATTTCGGAAACTCCCATATGGGGGCTGTAGAGTGCTTTATGGTGCTAGGAGAGGTTGCAAGGCCCAGGGCCGAAAAAAAAAATCCTTCCGCTGGCGCCGGCCTCCTGGTGCTGCTCGAGTTCTTCAATGTGTGTCTCTGCCTGCCGGGGTTTTCAGGTTCAGGGTTTAGGGTTTAGGGTTTAGGGGTTTTGGGTTTAGGGTTTAGGGTTTAGGGGTTTAGGGGTTTAGGGTTTAGGACTATCAAGGTGTCCTCAAACCAACCGATGTCTGTGATGCCGGTAGATCTGCTCAATCTGCCTATTTTCCATGATCTAGAGAGATAGTACGCATGCAAACATGCACCGATGCATTTAGGCTACATCTCTGCACCCAAAACCCCTGTACAGAGCCTTCGACCATGAACCCTGAACCCTAAACCCTGAACCCTAAACTCAAAACCCTATACCCCACACCCTAAACCCAAACCCTAAACCCTAAACCCCCAAAACCCTGAAAGAAGCGGCTGACATCGAGCAGGGGAGGGGAAATTCCTGCAGCTTGGATTGCACCCGGCTAGAGCTACAACTCCAAGATCTCCCCAAGCTTGGCTGAGGTTTAGGGTTTAGGGTTTAGGGACCCATACGACGGGTCTTTTTAGGGTGTTTCGGCCTTTGTGGGTTGGAGCTTTCGGGTTTCGGGGTTCAGGTTTTTAAGGTTTTAAAGGGTTGGGATGTTTCTGGTGGACAGACCTTCACTACCCTTTGTAGGCTGCCGGAAGTATGGCAGATTCCCTAACTTAACCAGGCTGTGGCAATCAGTAGGAATAGAATTTCCTGATGGCCCCTAGCCCGACCCAAAAAATGCCCCACCCCGGCCCATATCCTATTCTAAATGCTGCGGCCCTGTATCTGGATTAATTAAACCCTAAAGCCCGAAACCAAAAACCCACGAGAGTTCAAACCGGCGGAGTTATCTGCTACAGTGGGTTTAGAGTCACGGCGCAAGGCCCAAAATACCCAAAGACTTGTATGGTGCTCTATGAGGCGAAAAAGGTCTCACTTCTTAGGAAGGAGCACCTGCAAAAAAACCTGGTCAGGTCTGTTCGTTGTCCTTTCATGTCCTGATAGTTCCCGTATGCGAAACACTAGGGTAGTTCTCTAAGTTAGGGTCCCTTTTAGGGTCCTTTTTATAAGCGTGCCGTACTATATTGGGGACCTAAGAAAGGGACCCTAACTTAGAGAACTACCCATTAAGCGAAGCAACAAGGGCTTTCCCCCAAACCCTAATCCCTGAACCCTAAACCGTAAACCCATAAAGCAGAGCAACAAGAGCTTTCAGGGTGTCTCGTAGGATGTGCAAATCGGGGCTCGTCGGAGGTCCTGTCAGTGAGTAGGGTTTCGGATCCCTCGACCTCTAGAGTTTAGGGGTGCTGGCGTGAGGGTTTAGGGTTTGGGGTTTGGGGGTTTAGGGTTTAGGGGTTTAGGGTTTAGCGTTTGGGGTTTAGGGTTTAGGGTTTAGGGGTTTAGGGTTTAGGGGTTTGGGGTTTTTAGGGGTTTTAAGTACGGGGTCCCGAAGCCCTTATAGCCTAAACCCTGAAACCAGATCCCTGAAATTCAAGCTTTAAACCTCGAAGCCACAAAGCTCCGAGGCAGCCGGTGCCTGTCGCATGAAGAGGACGATCTGGGCTTTGGGCAGGTTGTAGTGAACCGGCCTCACAGCAGCAGATTTCGAAGAAGCCCCAATATACACCAAACCCTAAAATCCTAAACCCTACTAAACCCTAAAGCCCCAAAATCCTAAACCCTACTAAACCTGAAGCCCTAAAGCCCTAAAACTCTAAAACCCTAAATCCTGCTGGACCCTAAAACCCCAAAACCCAAAATAATCAGACCCCAGCATGTGAACTGCATAAGATCGAGAAAAGCGTTTCTAAACCGGGTTACTACATTGGGCGATGGCCTAAACTGGTTCACCTCCACCCTGAGTTCTCCCAAACCCTGGCTAAATCCTAACCCTTGAAAACCCAAGCCCCTGAACCCTAAAGTCCTAGGCCCTAAAACCGTAAACCCTGAACCCTGACAACCTAGGCCCTAAAAAGCCTAGTGACCTAAGTCGTCTAGATGGCATGCAGAAGAGGTGCATGGTGGTGTTCGGGTCTGAGCTGAGGCTTGTCTGCGGGCGCATGAACACCTGGGTCTGCAACAAGCTTTGGAGGATTCGGACTTAAGGTTCGGGGGCTTTACAAGTTCATGGGGTTTTTAGGGTTTAGGGTTTTGGGTTTAGGGTTTTGGGCTTAGGGTTTAGGGTTTAGGGTTTTGGGTTTAGGGCTTAGGCGGCTTATGGGGTTTAGGATGTACGGCCTAGGGCTCACAGGGAGTCAGGAAGGGCTTTTCTAGTTCTTGAAGATTTTAAGACGGTTCTGTAAGGCTTTGTCGTCTTATGTGAGCTTCTAGAAGGCTTCTGGGAGGTTTGTGGTCTAGGACTGAGCGCTTGTAGGCGTGTAGTCGTGGTGGCATTGAGGGCTAATGGGCTTTGGAGGTTAGGCTACAAGTTGACGGAACAGGGCTGCTTACAGTTTGAGCTTTAGGAGTTGTTTCATGCAGGTGCCTGATATCGGCAAGAGCCTACCCGGATCTGGAAGTTCGTTGTGGAGGCTGTGATGTGGCACTTCGCTTTGCGGGGAAGAAAGGTCACAAAGACTCCGATATCCCTTGGCAAGCAATATCGAGTCATGTACGTCCCTGATACATGTAAGCTTCTATCAGAAAATGCTCCACCATAGGGAAATCTGACTGAAGATCTTCCGAGAGACTTTTGTTGATTTTGGGTGAGGGATTTCCGCTGTAAGAAGGGTGGCAGTTCTGCAGCGATGATTTGTATCTGGCCTTTTCGGGTTTAGGGCTTCCACCCGAAGGCTCACACCGGTTACTTCTTCTCACTTTTGTATAACCCGAGAAAGACCCGTGACCTACGTCTTCATGGCTCGCGGGCTCAAGCTGGGCCCTACATAGATTTGAGATAATATAGGGGCCTTAATAGTTAGAATAGGGTTTTGGGGTATATTACACTGATTATAATAAGGAAGCCCCCCAAAACCTTATTCCAATTATTCAGGCCCGAAAATTACCCCTAAACCCTAAACCCTAAACCGTGGACGTCGGCCTTGGAAGAATCTCGGAAGCCGTGTGGCCGAGACGAAGCTCCCGGATGTCTGCAGATACTTCGCGCTGACGTACTTGCCGATGGAAGCAACCTCGGCACTTAGGGTTTAGGGTTTAGGGTTTAGGGCTTAGGGTTTAGGCTTTAGGGTTTAGGGTTTAGGGGTTGGATGCAGAGCCCAAAGTGGGTGGAACAAGATCGTGAAGGGTGCTGTAAAGCTTTTCTGGACAGGCAGTGAAGACATACCATAGGTTTCCACCACCACCCCTACTGCGCCGGTGTGCTGCTCCTTGCTCTTCCCTAAGAAGCAGCAGCAGCAGCAGCTGCTGCTGCTGCTGCTGCTTTCGGGGACTACATACTGCCACAAACACTGAAGGCCTAAGCAGTTTGAAAGGTGCTCTGGGAGCTTGCATACTGGAAACGCCGTAGGCAAGAAGACTGCCGCCGTCACTGCTACTGCGACGGACGCCCTCGAATAACGCTGAATCCCGAAACCCTAAACCCTCAACTACCCCAGAGTCCTAATCCTCAAGAGAACCCATTACCCCTTAATTAAGGAATATACCTTCAATTATAGGGGCCTTAATATTGTGATTTAAAATATATTCCTTAATTAAGGGGTATTGGGTTCTCTGGGCCTAAACCCTCCAGAACCCTTGAGCCCTCGGCCCTCAAAACGCCAACCCATCCTACATCGTGCAACCCGACCAATGAAAAAACGGCCCAGAAGCGAATTTAGGCTCGGTGATGAGATCCGGCTGGAATCGGGAAATGATAAAGTCCCGTAGCCTGGGGCTCAGTGCTTTGGGTTCGCGTTTGGGGGCATAGGGTTTCAACAAGGCAAAAGGTGTTTTCTGCTGCTTGCTACAAGATTCCTAGCAAGGTTCTGGAAGGGGTTTGAGGATAAAGTCCTGTCGACTGAAAGATCAAAGAGGGCTTATGATGATTCCATTTTCATAGGGTCTCTATACTCTGGTTCTACACTATAGGGTATCTATCATGGGATTAAAGACAAAGTCCCTGAGCCTGACAAGAAAACTGATTTATACAGGTTCTGTAAGGGTGCTACTGTACAAGGTATACTGTGAGGGAGGGTTTGGGCTTGGGGTTCAGGGTAGGATTCAGCGTTCGGGGATTAGGATTTCACGGGATATGAGTTATAAGAACCAGAGAACCCAATACCCCCTGATTAAGGAATGTACCTCACATCATAATATTAAGGCCCCAGATCTACGGTATATTCCCTAATTAAGGGGTAGTGAGTTCTCTGGGGACTGGGTTTAGGGTTTCAGGTCTTAGGGCTTAGACGGCACATTCCATAATTCATTGTAGTCTAGGGTTTGGTTCCTTTTGAGGGTTTAGGGTTTAGGGTTCCTTTAAGGGTTTAGGGGTTTAGGGTTCCTTTGAGGGTTTAGGGTTTAGGGTTCCTTTGAGGGTTTAGGGTTTAGGGTTCCTTTACGGGTTAAGGGTTTAGGGTTCCTTTAAGGGTTTAGGGGTTTGGGGTTCCTTTAAGGGTTTAGGGGTTTGGGGTTCCTCTAAGAGTTAGGTTTAGGTTTCCGTCAATCTGTTCGACTTCCAGGGCTTAGAGGCTTCATAAAGTCCCGTCGCCCGGGGCAGAGACACATTTAGGGTTTAGGGTCTAGGGTTTCTTTATCTCGGCGCTTCAAGCTTACTTGATGCACGCGCGGCATAGTTTCAGGTTCATAGCGGGATTCAGGGTTACAGGTGTAGGGCACGGGTTATGGCTTGGGATGTGGTAGACAGGTTGCAGAGTCCATTTACAGCCTTCGGGTGTGCACTAGTCCTGTAGAACAGCCTTGCTATAACAATGGAAAACAAGAATAAATCAAATAGATCCTGGTGGTTCGGCTCAAGAACCGCAAACTGAGCAAAAAAACCCTAAACCCTGTACTCTGAACCCTAGACCCTAGACCCTGTACCCACCCTGTACCCTAAACGCTAAACCTTGTACCCTAAACCCTAGACCCTCAACCAGGAACTTCGGGTGCTTGTTAGGTTCATTGGACGAGAAGATCCAGTACTAACAAGGGCCCAGGATAACATGGCAGCCTGATTCAGAAATCTTGGGTCTTAATTCGGGTTCCTTGTATGAAGCCTCATATTTTGGGGGTTCTACAGGTTCCTACATTAGCTAGAACAGGGCTTTGAGGTATAGCCTGCTGGACTTGGAATAAGGAAGCTCCCGAATCACACTAAACCCCACTAGTAACTCCGCATGTACTATATTACGCGCCCAGTAAGCCAGGGAAACAAAAGGAAAACTTTCAGATTGCTACTAAATTATAAGAACCCAAAAGGTTTAAAGGTTCGGTATTGGAGAACTAAGCTATATTACGCGCCTGGGTGTCAGATGCTCCACGAGCCAGTCGTTGTCATAGGATGTGAGCTGCACGGGATCCACAGGGTGGTCAACCTGAGGCGAGCTGCGAAGTTGTCTTAGGGTTCGGCATTTAGGGCTCAGGGTCGCGTTTTTAGGGTTTAGGCTTGCTTTCAAGGTGAAGGGGCGGCTTTACTCTTCGAATACGTATGTATATAATCATATGCACGCACATACATAGCTACTTACCTACATCCATACTTACTTACTCACTTGCCTACTTACTTTCTCAACATGCTTGCATACATACTTACCTGCATGTGCACCTGCATGAACCGTCAAGAACGGTGAATCAGAAGCTCGAAGATGCCTCAACTTAGGATCCTTGGCGGCAGGAAAGGCTTAGGGTTTTCGGGGTCTGCCGACAGGACCTTGTAGGGTGCAACGGTCCCTTCATTAAGGGATCTTGGGGCCTCCGCAAAACCCTAAGCCCTAAATGGCCCTAAGTTGGCACTGTTCCTCGTTTAAGTGGGATGTTTGAGTCTCTGGGAGCTTGCCTGCATGGTCTCGTACGGCATGCGCTCCTGAGCAGGGGCGTGGGGTGGGCTTTCAAGCTTTGGAAAAGCTAAAAATGTCCTAAACCGTGAGGTCAGCACGGAACTAGTAGCCTGAATCCTACTAGGATGTCGGGAAGTAGTCATGGGTAGCGGTATAAGTAGCCTAGATGGGGTTTCCCTGTGATTATGAATATGCCCGTCAGTCTAGCCGCCTGCTGAGTCCTCCAATTTCAAGATATGAGATCGGGGGTTGACGGCTCTAGGGCGGTTACACCTAGATGCAAAGCTTCTCAAGAGGGCTCTGTAAAATTTATGGTTGAAGGTTCAGGGCTCTTCTTTCCATAGGGCTAATTACATGAAGTAAGGGATTGTGCTACTGATCTTTTCAAGATACAACCAGAACTATTCCGCGTCTCCCGATACTCCTGGGCAGCTCTACCCACACCCGCCAAAAACCCTGATGTAAACCCCACCTTAAACAACCAAAGCGTACTTTGACAAATTCTGTATATTTGGGTTTATAATACAAAAATCAGAACCTACAAAAAAGTAGTTCAAGGGCAGTTCATAGAGCCTCAAGGCTGCAGGAGCAGGGCGGGGCTAGGCCGGTTGCATGGCGGCCTAAGTCAACAGTACTCGTTTTCCTGAAGGCTCCCTGCTACCTAAACCCCCCAAAGTAGGTCAAATGATGGCCCAAAACCCATAAAAGGCCATTATTCTATATACTTTTGGGGTCCCCGCTATGCTTGCGGTCTCAACTCGAAAGCGCCCAACCCAGAGAACCCAATACCCCTTATTTAAGGAATATACCTTAAATCATACTATTGAGGCCCCTGTAATTTAAGCTATATCCCCCGAATTAAGGGCTATTGGGTTCTCTAGGAACCCTCGTCTAACAATTCGGATCCGCAGTTTCGAGCCGGGGGCTTGGCTTGGACCTCGTAGGCTCCCATGTACTGTTCTGCGGGATACTTCCCCAAATCAGAATGAATGGGGATTCCTAACATAGAAATTAGAAACCTTACATTCTACAAATAAATAAGAATAGGGATTCCTAATATAGAAACCCGACACTCTGCTATAAAGGCACTTTGGACCCTTTGGAATGCACGCTCTCGAGGTTTGGGCCGTCTAGGACCTGTCATGGTAGGAACCCGTGAAGCAACAAAGACGTCATGAAGCCGTGTTAAATAAACCTCTAAACCTCTAAACCCTAAACCCTAACCCCTAAACCCCTAAACCCCTAAACCATAAACCCTAAACCTTTCACAATAAGTAGCCCTCAACCCAAAGCTCTGAACCCTAAGCCCTAAACCTTCCCTCTCCCAGGGTGTCCGCTTCGAACTCTTCGTTGGGACCCGGAACCGCCTCTGCCCCTGCGGCTGCTGGGCGCTTGAAGAAGAGACTTAGCTTAAGCCAATATGGGAGTTTCCGGAAATTAGGGTACCTTATTCTAGGGGCCTTATACTAGGGATCCTACTATTCAGGGTACTATATTAGGGTCCCCTATTTTCGGAAACCCCAATAAACAGCCCTACCTGGACCCCAGAAAGTATGTAGAATAATAGCCTTTTGGAGGCTTCGGGCCATTATTTTACCTACTTTGGGCGGTTTAGGCAATGATTCGAAATGGGTTTTGGTGTAAGTTATAATGATATCCACATACTCCGGAACCCTGCAGCACACGATTGGCAATGATTTCGACCCCCTACACCTTCTCATAGCTACTGATACGGTTGATGATACAAATCCTGCATTACCTTCAGGGCCCTAAGCTATGGGAATTATGGTATATTCCTTATTGGCAGGATGTATATCATCAACCTTTGGGTTGAGACTTTCGGGTGTAGGCAACTTAGCTTAAGCTAGCAGCTCCCGGGGCTTAGCAGCGATGTGCACGAAATCGGAGCCTTTTTTTTCTGTGGGGAATCCCTAAACCCGAAGCCGCCTCCCCTGGAGCTATTTGTTATGAAGTCAGAAGCATTAGTGCAGTTAATTCCGTAGGGGGGGGAACTGCTCCGTCCGCCACCCCTCCTCCCAACTCCCATCCACTAAACCCCAAACACCCACTAGCAAAGACCATAAGCTCCTCGTTATCCGTAGTGGCGAAGTGCTCAGGCTTGAGGGTTGAGAGTTGAGGCCGTGAAGAGTAACCGCTGAACCCGTAGCCTTCGAAAGCCATGGGTTGAGGAGTTCGATAACTGGAAGCTTTTGGGCTGAGGGTTTAGGGTTTAGGGCCTAGGGTCTTGGGATTAAGCTGCAGGTTATACTCAGAGGCTCAGTTTTGTGCATCAAGCGGCTCAGGGCAGTGTGAATTTGGGTCCAACCCGCAGGGCGAGGCCCACAGACACCCGAAACCAATAGAGGGGTCTTAAGAATCAGATCATGGGCTTGAGGTATATGATCCTAGAATCATATACATCGTTCTCCCAATTAGGGTCCTTTGGTGACCTAGAGGCGCACCCTAATTTAAAGAACTGATCATACCCCTAAACCCTAAAACCCTAAACCCAAAAAAAACCTAAACCCTAAAACCCTAAACCCAAAAAAAACACACCTAAACCCTAAAACCCTAAACCAAAAAAAAACCCAAACCCTAAAACCCTAAGTACCGAACAGCTCAGCGACCCACAGTTCAGGTTCAGCGTCTAGGATGCAGGGCTTAGGACTCAGGGGGTTTGAGGCGTTTGGGTAAGGAGTTCTTTAGGAGTTCTTTAGGGGTTTTAAGGTTTAGGGTTTAGGATTTAGGGTTTAGGGTTTAGGGTTTAGGGTTGAGGGTTTAGGGGCTTAAGGGGTTGCTTTAGCAGTTGGAGCTCTACACCTGAACCCATTCACACAGGTTTCGGGTTTCGCGTTCGAGATTTAGGGTTTAGGGTTTAGGGGAACTCGTTGAAGGTTTAGGGAAACAAAGAAACCCTGACAGTCCTGGTGGTGCAAAAGGAGGAGCTCGCGGCAGGGGCGGGTAGTCCTGCTCATCCCCGCGAAAAAAAATTGGGCGCCCCCTCAGACCAAAAAGCACACTTCCTGAACTAGATCCCTTAAAAAGGAGCCCTTGTAGATCCCTGAAAGGAGCCCTTATGGATCCCTGAAAGGAACCCCTACAAATCCTACACCCTAAACCCTAATCCTGAAACCTTAGATCACCAAACTCCTTCAACCCTCAACCCTAAATCCTGAAGCCTTTCAATCCTAAGCTCCCTTCAACCCTGAACCCTAAATTCTAGGCTTTAGGGTCCTAAACCCTAAACCCATAAATCCTGCAAGCCCTGCCCGTGGGTCTCGGGGACTGAACCCAAAGCTCTAACATCGAGGTCTCAAGGCTCTAGGGTTTAGGGTTTGGAGATTAGAAGGGTTTAGGGTTTAGTGTTTGGAGTTTAGCAGGGCTTTGGGTTTAGGGTATAGGGTGTAGAGAACAGGGTTTAGGAGTTTCGGGCCTTCCAGGGCTTTAATTTCAGGTGTATAAGGATCCCAGGGTTAAGAGCCAATACTAGAGGCCCATGCTTTCAACCTCAGACTATGCCCAGAACCCTAAACCCTAAACCCGAAACCCTAAACCCTAAACCCTGAACCCTAAACCCTAAACCCTGAACCCTGAACCCGAAACCCTAAACACTAAACCCTAAACATCCCTAAACCCTAAACCCTAAGACTTGGATCCCTTGCTCCGACCCCAGATCCTGAATTGGGGTTAGGCTTTGGGGCTTAGGCTTTAGGGTTTAGGCCTTAGGCTTTAGGTTTTAGGGTTTAGGCTTTAGGCTTTAGGGTTTAGGGTTTAGGGATTAAGGCTTTAGGATTTAGGCTTTAGGGTTTAGGCTTTAGGCTTTAGGCTTTAGGATTTAGGGTTTAGGGAAACTGAACACCTGAGTTCCGGCCTCTCAACCCTGAATAAGCGTTTCGGGTTTTGTTTCAAGCGGCCCTTGCGTCTTCTTGCTCTGCTTCTTCCGCTCAGGGGATAGATGCACGAACTGGAACCATGTCGGTCGTCTGATGAGAGAAGCATCGACAATGATTGCGCAATTCACCTCCTCGAGCGCAAGTCCGTGGACACATCTCGCAAACAATGGCACATCGACTAGGGCTGCAGAAATATTCTTCATGTTCAGGTTCACCTGCTGTTCGGAGTGGATCTCCACTTGCTTGTAGCCAGCCGCCTCCTTCTTGCAATGTGAACTCTTGGGTGTTGTCTCCAGCACAGTCTTCGAGCTCTGCACAGCAAGTGCAGCCCAGCGGGGAATCACTCGGGGAAGGCCTAATGTAGGAGCCTGAATAATCAGAAAGAACAGGTTTTGGGGCCCATTAAAAAATAGTTATAGTAAGGAACCCTCAACCCTAAACCCTAAACCCTAAACCCTCAAAATAGTATTGGCAATTATGTAGGCCCCTACATTAAACCCTAAGGGACTCAGGCTCCTCTTTACAAGGGTGCCAGTACCAGTTTGGGACTCGAAAAGGAACCATAGCTCAGAGAACTACCTAGACCCTAAACCCCAGACCCCAAACCCTAAAACCTAAACCCTAAACCCTAAAGCCGAAATCCGAAACCCTAGACCCGAAACCCTAAACCCGAAACCCCTAAACAGATCCCTTTAAGGGAACCTTTATAGCACCCTTTAAAGGAAACCCTTATAGACCCCTTTAAAGGACCCCCTAAGCCCTAAACCCCAAACCCGAACGCTCTTCTGGGAACCAAGGCCTCAGGTGGGGCCAGGCGTCCCTCGTCGAAGTAGTCATCCTCCTTTAGTGTGTAGAGTGTAGGGTTGAATCCCAGGGTTTAAGGTTTAGGGTTTAGGGTTTAGGCTTTAAGGTTTAGGCTTTAGGGATTTAGGCTTTAGGGTTTAGGGTTTAGGGTTTAGGGTTTCGGGTGGCTTCAGTTACCGACCATATGATGAGTAAGGGAGCTCGCCTATACTAAAACGGGCGCAACTTTTCCATGCCCTGAACCCTAAACCCTACACGAAAACGGTCACAACGTTTCCACATTGTAGGGTTTGGGGCCACAGCCAAGGTCTATAGGGTTGACTGCTTAGGGCTTCAAGCTTGTTATTGTCCCTGTTGTTACTAGTGCTATTGCAAGTGATCCTGTTCTTGTTCGTGTTCTTCAATTGTTCGAGTTGCTGTTCCTGCTCTAGTTGGTTAGGCTGTTGTTGATGTTGTTGTTGCTGTTAGTGTTGCTGTTGATGTCGCTGTCGTAGTAGTAGTTGTTGTTGTTGTTGTTGGTGGTGGTGGTGGTTGTTGTTGTTGTCGTTGTTGTTGTTGTTGTTGCTGTTGCGGCTGCTGTTGTAGTTGTTGCCGATATTTCATGTCTATGTTGTTGGTGAGATTGCTGTTGTTGCTGTTGTTGCTGTGGTTGTTGTGGTTGTGGTTGGTGTTGCTGTTGCTGCGATTGTTGCTGTGTTCGTTGTCGCTGTCGCTGTCGCTGTCGCTGTCGTTGTGGTTGTCGTTGTTGCGGTTGGTGCCGTCGTTGGGGTTGCTGCTGTTGCTGTTGCTATTGTAGTTTCGGCTTGTTTTGTGGTTGTGGTGGTTGCGGCTCTTGGGTGCGTTGGCGTTGCTCTCGCGGCCATGCACATACTGATGCGACGGTTGATATCATCGCTAGTGATAGCTTCGATTTTGCCCCTTCCATCGTGCTTATGATAACTTCTTTTCCTGTGGTTATGATGATGGCGTTGAAGGCGGTGTTGGTGGTGATGGCCATGATGCTAAAGATGATAACGGATCCGCGGATAGTCTCTGTGCTCATCGGATGAGAAAGACATTGATAGTGAGCACCATCGTCATAATTGTTGTCAGCATGGTGAATGTTGTGACATGTTCTTGTCCTCAGAAGCCGTCTTGCCAAAATTGCAGGTCTTGCTGTTGCCATTCCCCTTTCACCGTATGCTTCGCTACAACACAAAAGCACCCACAATCAAAGGGTAACCAGGGTATGGGAGATCCTTATTCCTACAGACCCCTTGCCAACCCTGAAAAAAATCATAGAGCCGTGAGGGACTTTCAGCCCTCACCCGTCCGGTCCTCGTCGTCAGATTCATCATCAATCACCTGCCGTGGCCAAGGAAAGCAGATCAGGGGCTATGATCCTGGACCTGGGGGGTTAGGGGTTTGGGCTTTGGGGGTTTTGGGTTGTAGGGTTGAAGGTTTTTGTGTTCCTGGGGGGTTTGGGGTCCACGGCTCAGGGGGTGGTGAAGAAAGCAGATGGCTGTGATACAGCAGCTTCTTTTTAAGCCTTTGAAAGTGTTGTAGCGGCATGCATAATTACTTGCAGCTGTACTCGCGTGTATACTTGCCAGTAGAATTTGAGAAGGCTGATACGTTGAACTGCGACTGGACTTAGGCATAACCTTCAGGGTTCCGCTTCTCGCATCTCAACGGTTTCAGACTTCTGTTGGGCCGTCGTTCTGTTCGACCCTAAACCCTAAACCCTAAACCCCTAAACATGCGCGTTTCGCGGTGCTGTTGCCCAAGATCTCCAGGGTAAGAGGAAACTACAGGTGGGGAGTTTAGGGTATATAGGGCTTCTATAAGGCTGCTATAAGGTATATAGACGTTTTATAAGGCTATGAAGCTCCTATAACGGTCACTACCCACCTGAAGATGTGAGCTTCGGGGGAGCTTCGGAGAGTGGAGGACCTCTGCTTGGGACTGTCAAGACTCCACTCCCCAGGGGGCCCAACACCTCTTAATTAAGGAGTGTATATATTGCCCTGAAAATTATAGGTGCCTTCATATTATGGTGTTTACGAGGCCTTAAAGGGATCTATAAGGGTTTCGGGCTTAGGGCTTAGAGGAATATACCTTAAATTCTAGGGGGCCTTAATTGTATGGTTTAAAGAATATTCCATGATTAAAGGGTATTGGGCTCTCTGGGTCTATCACAGGCTTTATGCGTAGCTTTCTAAATTAGGGTCCCTTTTGGGGGATCCTTTTTTTAAAGGGTGCCGTACTGTGTTGGAAACCTAAACAGGGACCCTAATTTAGAGAACTACCCAAACCCTAAACCCTATAAACCCTAGACCCTAAAACCTAAACCCGAAACCCTAAACCCTTTATGGATCTGGTTGAGCGTTTAGGTTGTTATGGTTCAGGGTTTAGGATCTCAGGGTCCCCAAGTCCTTCCAAAGCAATACACCCAGACCCAAGGGGTTTGGGGTTTAGGGCTTTAGGGGTATAGGGCTTTAGGAGTTTAGGGGTTTAGGGGTTTAGGGTTTAGGGGTTTAGGGTTTAGGGGTATAAGGGCTTTAGGAGTTTAGGGTTTAGGGGCACAAGGGGTTTAGGGTTTAGGGTTTAGGGGTTTAGGGTTTAGGGTTTAGGGGTATAAGGGTTTTAGGAGTTTAGGGTTTAGGGGTACAAGGGGTTTAGGGTTTAGGGGTTTAGGGTTTAGGGGTTTAGAGGTATAAGGGTTTTAG